CAGGAGTCCTGACAGGGCCTCTCTCTCTCCCCACAGTGACAGAGTAAGAATATACAGTACACTAAAATTTTAAGGCTAACCAGTGTTCCTTAAGTGACTTGCCACAAAATGTCAAAATATGTTATTGTTAGAGCTGAGGGGGTCTAATGTCTATTTAATTTTCTTTCTTTTATACAGGAATTAGATACAATGCTCCAGCTAGCTAACTGATAAATTGTCTGCCAAAAAAGTAGAGTTTTCCAGTATCTTGCTAGCCCCTGGATAGAGATGATGGGGGGGGGGGGTTGATTCCCCCTCCCCATTTAGTGCTTAGCTTGTACTGAGCATGCTCAATAGCACTGTTGAAGCCTCTGTCCACCCTCACTTTCCTCCCCTCCCCATCATGGCATGTACAGGTTGGCCTCCCCCCACCAGAATTTGAAATGGCTCCCCTGCTTGTTTCATTGATATCTACAGATCAACAAGAGACAACACTCACCTGACTAGTTTATTATCCTTATCCAAGCTCTTGCTGCTGTCTCATTTTTACAGGCTCAACATCTAATTCTTTTCTTTCCTTATTTCTTTTGGTAAACATTTTTAAAATTCCATAGAAAAGGTTTTCCATTTCCACATTCCAGCAGTGTTTGCAATTCAAGTACTTTAACATTTTGTTCAACCATGGAAATCTGAACGTGAAGTTGATAACACAGAACTGACTAGTTTGTTTTCACTGTCCTTTCACGTAGAGATTTAGAAAGCAAAGAACATTGTAATGGTAAATCTGATTATTTATGAGTTACCAATAATAGAATATGAGGCAGTAACATTAGCAAGGTTAAAAATACTGTTTTTATTTTGTGTCTTTATGAAATTCTGCTATTATTTTATTAATTGTAAATAAAGGTGATATACTTCTAGCAGTTGTACAGAAGATACTTGGTTTTCCTTTCCTCTTGTTAGTCATTTATAAAGCACCCATCACTACTGTTTAGACACCTCTTCCTGCACTTCATTTTAATTATTTCCTGTTCTCTTTTGGATGTTACTTGGACATAAGCAAACTCTCCTTTTAATTCTTCTCTTCTCTCATCACGTACTGGAAAAATCCTTTTGATGTTTTTTGTCATCGAGCATTAGAATCAGCATGATTTAGGCTCTTCAGCTGGACTGCACATCTGCAGCTGAGTGGACAGAAACTCACCTTGGGTCTAAATTCATCTGGAAAGCATTTGAAGAAGATAACATTTGATTTAAAAAAATTTCAGTGACTTTGACAGCCCTATCCAATTGTTTTGTAAACCTTAAATTGGTGGAAAATCTCTCCTCCTTACTAACCACATTTTTATATGAGAAAAAAGTTAAACCAGACAGCATTGGGCTGTATCCAGGAGAACACAGCTTCCTTGTGCCTTCCCCTTTCAGAGGAGCTAATTCATCTCAGCGACTGTCAGGTGGTGACCAGGTTAGGTATTAAACATCCATATCTGCTTGTCCCCAAGATTAGGGGCTGTGGCTTCCATGGTAATTGGATACAGAAGCAGTTATGCTGAACAATGTACTGTGCTAAGTGCTAAATTGTAGACGGGTTTGTCCCTGGCTGTATATGTACAGTTAGCCAGAGGAAAGTTTTTAGGGGTTATGTCCTAGAAATATTGTTACTTAAGGATAAGGGCTTATAAAACCAAATATCATGCCCAACCCCTGAAAAAAGTTCAATGGGGGGGAAAAGGCATGGCTATTCTTTATGTTCATATGGGTAAACCATCCCTGCCCACTACCGTCCCCTGGAATCAGGAGAGGGAAAAGCATCCCTTGCCACAAAATTTAGACAAAAGATTACCTAGTAGATCAGCGAAGACCTGCCTTCTTCTCTGTTTGTACAAGGGAGTTTACTAATAATTCTGTGGGAGGTCTCATGAGCTACCAATAGCAGTGACCACCTCTAGTATGCAAAGAGTTAATTCCTAAATATTCCCTGCCATACTGGAAATCTAATTTTAGTGTGCTCTCTAGAGCACTTACATTTCTTGTCCCCACCACAAATATTTTTAAAAATAACAATTTTCTTTTTCATTTGTAAACGACTCTTTACGAGATTTCATTAATCTGTGTAAAGGGGAACAGGCTATCAGAGAAACTTCCCATCCTTTCATGATCACCTTGCAGGACTTACATTCTCACAGAACTGCCTTTTGCCAAAGTATGTTCTTTTTCATTTCTCACTTACCTGGGTTCCCTGGGTTTTAAGATCATTTTGAGACTAGCACAATGATGTATCTATTTAAATTTATTTTTCTTGGCAGCTAATGTATTTTACTATGCACCCACGTGAACAAGATTACAGTTCCTGGACTTTTTACAAAATTTCTTTGGCTATAACCTCTCCATGGGTTTTACTTGCCAGAAGTGATATCAAGCAGAAGTCTTTAGCCTCTGAAGTAATTAAAATATATCTTTGAAATAGAAAATATAGCTAATGACAGTAATGCTTTTGGGCATACTGCCACTTTTGGGCTACCAGAAAAAATCAATTATATATGATTAATAAGTATAATTAATGGGATGCCATAGGCACTTTACAAACAGAGCAAGACCTGTTCCCTTCTCTTCAGTATTGTGAAGGGCAGACCAGGGAGAATGATGTATAGAGAAAAATATACAATAGAGAACAGTGGGGATCATGGTAAATAGCATGTTTGTTTGCAAAATGTTTAAACAAATTAAATAAGGAACTTCTGAAGTTTTATTTACTTGTCGATGGGAGCAAAACAGTAGGAGGTGGATTACATACATTGACAGGAAAACTTCTTCCATTACAGGCAGTCCCCGGGTTACGTACAAGATAGGGACTGTAGGTTTGTTCTTAAGTTGAATTTGTATGTAAGTTGTCTCATCCCGTTTGTAAGTAGGGATCCGATGTAAGTTGGATCCATGTAACCTGGGGACTGCCTGTACTGTCAGCAACATCTATACTATGGTGCTACAGTGGCATAGCTGCTGTGTTGCAGTTGGGCTGCTGTAGCACCCATAGAGTAGACATGGCCTAAGCTTAAACTCCCTCCTCTGCCTTGAAAATCCCATTTCCTCCTAGTTTTCTGAGAACTTTTTCTCTTCCGGAAGAAAAATCAAAGGAAGAGGATCATTTAGTTCTTAGGTCTTAACTGTATTTACATACTTTTTAAATGCTGTGTAAATACAGGAAAGTAAAACAAGGATCTTGTTAAACAAAACCCTTCGAGCTTAAAAACAAATGTAAGACACAGAAGTAGACTTAATTGTAAAGGGAGAATTACATTTGCTACTTGCAAGTCAGTGAAAAATTACGTGTCTTGACTTGAAGTCACAGCCTAAATGTGTAGCATTACCTACTGCATCTCATCCTTGCTGTCTAATAATGTTGCATTTTTTATGTTTAATAAACTGGAATTTTACTGGTATTTACCCTTTCTATTTTATTCTGTTTATTTACTAAATAAATATCATTGACACTCTTTTTACATTAAACTTGGAACCGGCTAATAAAGATTCCCTAAACTCAACTGTATTATCAGTTAGAGGAAAGATGATTTAGAGGATAAATCAAATAACTAGAAGCCAGGAAACCATGAATTTATCCACAGCTCTGCCACAGATTGTAACTGTGGGGCAAGTCAGTTGCCTCCAGTTTTCACATGTCCACTAATTTTTGTGCCTCCATTTTTATTTCCAATATGAGATGCATAGGGCCTATGGTTGACAAGTACCACAATTCAGCTGAAACCAATGGGGTCTGGGAAGGCTTTGAACCATGCTGGAAGATCAATACATTTGGACTATTTCAGCCCACAGTGAATTTCAAAGCAGAGGGGCCCTTGCAGAGAACACCTTGTCAGATGTTACCCTTCACATATACTAAGGGAGCTCTAAGCTCGTGATTCTGGTAGAGAGGCAGTGTCAGGTGTAGGATAGTCCTAGTCCATATAGTACTTTTACAAGTTAAAGTCAACATCTTAAACTCCAGCAAAAGCCAACAGATAGCCAGTGAAGATCATGGGGCACTGGGGTCATATGCTCACAGCATGACGTTTAACAAAGCTACTGCATGCAAGCTACTGCATTCTGTCTTATCTTCAGTCGCCAAATGGATATAAGGTGTGGCCCCTAGAGGGCACATTGTAGTAATCTAATATCAAGGTATCCAAGGTCTGTATCCTGGGGGCAGTGTATTTGATATTTGAGAGCAAAGGATGCAAGTGGCTGTCCAGACAATGAGAGAAGAAAAACTGTCATGATCACTACAGCAATTTGATCCTCTAAAACAGGGGTCTCCAAACTACGGCCCGGGGGCCGGATGCGGCCCGCGAGGCCCTCTCATCCGGCCCGTGGAGACCTTTTTGGATTCAAAGGCAGAAGAAGTGAGATTGTTTCAAAACCCATTTGAAGCAGATGTGGCCAGTTGCCCAGATGAACTGCAGCTGGAAGTCATTGAGTTGCAAGCAAATGACCTCCTTAGGGACAAGTTCAAAATAGGACTGGTGGGTTTTTACCAGTTTTTGCCCAAGGAAGACTTTCCTAATGTCAAAACTTTTGCATCAAGGTACCTTTCAATCTTTGGAACAACATACCTGTGTGAACAAACATTTTCAAGAATGAAATACGTGAAGAACAATTTGAGAACAAACTTGTCCGATGATAATCTCAGGTCACTGTTGATGTTAGGGACAACAAATCTAAAGCCAGAAATGTCTGCTATTTTGGCATCCAGGAAACAATTTCACCATTCACACTAATACAGGTGTTCATGTGTAGTGTATCAATGTGTTATTAAATAATAACTGAATAAAATAATATTAAATAAATAATTAAAAACAACATCCATGTTTTGATTGTTTTTTATTTGGACCTCAAGTGTGTAGTCGGCCCCCGAACTGCTGTTTGATAGTTAATGCGGCCCTCGGGCTGAAAAGTTTGGAGACCCCTGCTCTAAAAGAATCGGGGAATTAAACCAGAGCCCCAGCCTAGGAAAAGAGCTGGTTGATTATTTTAATTCAAAATATTTTTAGATAAAACATGGGTTTTTTCATTAAAACAGAAATGTATGTGGAAAATATGAATTTTCAGTTATTTTTTCTGGTTTTCATAAAAAATAACATTTGGTTTTCAGTTGTGAAAACCGGAAAAAAAATCAATTTTTATATTTTCCATAGAAACAGAAAGCATTTCCCAACTGGTTATAGTTATGAACTTTAGTAAGAAATGTCAAAGGAACACCATGTCAAAGGTGTTTTAATTAAATTTCAGCCAAGCCCTTCCATTTGATCCTCCTGACCCTTATACACTGTAGTCACTTTCATTTTATCTAGTTTGCTCTCATCCATGTCTTGGTCTTGCACAGATACTTGAAGACCCTTCACACACTCCCACTAACACCCCCCTCACTAATACTCCTAACAGCCTTACATACACAATGAATAAGAAGAATATGATTTTCACATTTTGACAAGTATTTAAAACCCTTTCAAACAAAATATGAACATCCAAAGCATCAGCAAGCTAAATTATCATAATAGTCCCTGCTGGCTTTATAGCCTACCCCTGCCTTAAAATCTATGGAAGTATTTAATAAAGCAAACTTTCTATAAATGTTTTATCTATTAGAGATGATATTTGGAGCTTATATTGGGGGCTATGAGATGTTAGTTATAATCTTTTATTTATATATCTAGTAGGAATTTAAACAAAGAAAACTTTAAGGAACATTTTAAGGTTGCACAGTTCACATTTTAAAAAATCAGATAATGAAGATATGGTTCTTGTGCCAACACTGTCAAAATAGAAATATATAATATTCCTCTTGTTCTTAAGTGATTCCATATAATGTTGCATGCCTATGACATGGTTGAAACAGCATTGCTATAGGAACTTTAACTTATGCATTTCTCAACATATTACTTGAACTCTGCAACCTGGTCTTTTGTCTACCATCCCCACAAAGCCCAGGTTCTGACTCAAATCTACTGATATTGTTCCTTGCAAAAGTATAATTTGCATAACTTGGTGTTATTATTTAGTCTTTTATTGCTGGCAGAGAGCAGAAGCATCAAACTGTATTCATCCCATTGTATCTATTAAATAAGTTTATAAATGGGACAGTATATTCCAAATAATCCAGTTATATTTTAGAAGTAAATATGTTTTGGAAATATTTCTTACAAAACAGCATACCTGTGTATACACTG